AAGTGTAAATATAGATAAAGACAGTTTAATATCTCATACGTCACTCAGAATTATAAACTCATCCCAACAATTTCAAAATAGTATTTATATTGGTGCTTAGTTGATGGAGCAAACGCACTTGCCTGGCAAAGAGACGACCATGACCGCAAAAGGCACGTAATACAGTTTGCGCCACGAGGCTCAGAGATTTGATAACCTGCAGGGCTTAACAGCCCTGAAAGAATGGCACTGGGTGGCTGTGGAAACCCATTCCATGAAGCTCTCTACACACTGTTTTTGTGCTCATCTGAAGGCCACACCAAGTTTGGAGGTCTTTAGCTATTGACTCTGCAGACAGTTGGTGACTTCTGCGCACTGTATACATGTAAAGCATTGTGTAAATTGGCAGTGCTATATAAGTACCTGTAATAAATAAAAAAAATATGTGATTTTGTGCAGCCCTGCCACCTTATAGCAGTAAGTCTACCATAGGGTGGCAGGCAAACGGTTAATTCTTCTGCTGGAGTTGAATTCTTTAGTGTGTATATCAGGTGACCATTGTTTTCTAGAGATCTGAAGAAAGCTCACCTTCGTGACTCCCATATGGTCTAGCGGTTAGGATTCCTGGTTTTCACCCAGGCGGCCCGGGTTCGACTCCCGGTATGGGAAGATCCTTTTCTTTTTAATGTCCTTGCAACATTCCCTGTTTGGCCAGCCGGTTTCAATTTGATCAAATCGGACTATAAACGCAACATATTAAAATTATATTTAATTTGTGTCGCGCTCCACTGAATAAAAAAATCTGTGAACAAATTCCTCAATATTGCTAGTATAGCCTCAATACATAATATTTATGACCATATATTAAGTGATCCTAATGTGCCAACAAAAAATATATAAAGTGAAATAAATATATATAGTAATATAATTGTGCAATAATATTTCTTAATAAAATATATATATATAAATATATATATATATATATATATATATATATATATATACAGGGTGCAGCAACATAACTTCCTTTTTTGAAATGCGTGCCATTCAGGCTGTAGCGGCCATAGCGGGGCGGGAGTGATATCAGGCGACAGGCGTAATACTAAAGTTTTTGTTCTCTTCCAGGTCAGTCATCATCATGCGTTGGAACAGTGAGCAGCGTGCGTTTGCCGTAGAGGCCTACTTTTCGAACGGATTTTCTGTGATCGCAACCCAACGCGCCATCCGACTTCGCTTCAATGTAGCCCCGTTGGGCCGTGTCCCGGACCGGAAATCAATTGTTACGTGGGTCACTACGTTCAGAAAAACCGCGAGTACGACGAGACGAAGAGCTGGAGTCCCTCGACCCATCAGATCACTTGAGAACATCGAAGCAGTGAGAGCTTCAATCTTGCGATCCCCGCAGCGTTCTGAGCGCAAACATGCGTCTGCCCTTGGACTTTTGGATCGTTCAGTGAGGCGAATTCTTCACGATGACCTTCATTACCATCCGTACAAGTTGGCGATTGTGCAGGAACTCTCCGAACGCAACTTCAATTCTCGGAGGAACGCAAGTGAGGCAGTACTCGAAAACGTCCCTGAGGATGCAATTGTTTTTTACAGTGATGAAGCCCATTTTCACTTGACTGGATGCGTCAACAAACAGAACATGCGCTACTGGGCCGACACCAATCCTCAAGAATTGCATCAAAGGCCTTTGCATTCATCTAAAGTCACAGTGTGGTGTGCAATTGCATCAATGGCTATTTTAAGGGAACACTTCCCGGAGCGCCTCGTCTCAATAAGGGGCAATTTGGAGCTGCCAGCCCGCTCCCCCGATTTGGCCCCTTGCAATTTTTTTTTTGTGGGGTTTTTTGAAATCCCGCATTTATGTAAACCGTCCAAGGACCCTACAAGACCTGAAGGCCAACATCCGCGCAGAAAATTGCCAACATACCCGCTGCTATGCTGGTAAGGGTCATGAAAAATGCCAGAAATCGGCTTTTTCAGTGTATGGACAATGGGGGGCGTCACCTACCTGATATGATTTTCAAAACTGTGTAAAACAGAACTTTAGATATGTACCTACATTATTAAAGACAATAAAAACAATTCTGATTCATAAAATGGGTTTTATTGCGTTTTGAAAAAAGGAAGTTATGTTGCCGCACCCTGTATATATATATGTCCCAAAATTATCAAAAAAAGTCCAGAGACATTAAAAATCCAATATAGTGTCCACTTTGTTATTCTGAACAATCGGGTGCACTTCTCTTATATATCTGCTCACCTTAAATTTAGCCCAACTTTAGGTTAGGCTAAAAAAGCTTTTTGTCCTTAATTGGACAGATGAGAAAATTTCCAATGATTTTGTACTTCCAAGTATACTGATACACAAGATGCAAAACTTTTATTTTCCCTCAGGGGGTCTCTCAGGCATGCTGATCCTTGTCTTTGATCAGGATGGATGGATTGGATTTCTCCAGGGGTCCTATATATCCTTTTACTTCCTTTCTTTATTCCTCCATATTAGGTTGCAATGAAAAAAAGAAGAACATAGTGCCTTATCCTTTATAGCAATTTATTTGTATAGACAAATTATATTCCACTCACATATTCAATAGTAAAATCAAACCTTTTTTAAAATTAGTATCCTCTGTGTGCGCTCTGCACACTTCCTGTACTCGCCGTATTATCTCCTGAGTGCGTCATGACGTCAGAGCCCCTCCTCTACGCGTTACGTCACAGGGTCACGTGGCTTCATCAGGGTTTATATTAGCAATATTGAGGAATTTGTTCACAGATTTTTTTATTCAGTGGAGCACGACACATATTAAATATAATTTTAATAATAATTTTGCACAGGTATATGAATATGTGTCACAGTGTCAGTGAACCACATTCATTTAGTAAAATACATTTATTTTATGTACTAATGCACAATAATTAATCTTACCATAGTAGCTCGCACTTTATTATGTAATATAAACACAACATAACTGGTGAGGATAGGAAAACGCCCAAAAGCTATTCTTCTATGAAGTTAATAATCACTACATTCTGCAAGTAGTGAGAAGTCTTTGCCTCCTGAGTGCCTCTTTTTCCACACTTGTAAAATAAGTGACAGTTGTTTTTCCAAAGATCTGAAGTGTATGTGGAAATTAGCAGAGCTTCCCTTCATTTCCTAAGCTCTGGAGCAGCTGCACTTGCAAAGTGCACAGTCTATTTTGCCTTTAGTAAATCCAGTCCTTGCTCCTCCTCCTGATAGGTGCGAGATTGGGCTATTATTATACAGAATCTACATGTACCTTACCTTTCTAAAATACATGCAAAGCTTCTGATTCAAGATTCTTGTCTAAACCTTTGAGACGGTGACGTCATCACGCACACGCTTGTCTAAACCTTTTATTGAATCATCACACTTGACGCATATGTATATGCTTTTTGTTTTTCTATGTTTTTTATATCTGTGTGATATTAGAACCAAGAGAGCGAGACAATGCCTTCATGGATAGGTAAGTCCAGATGCCAAGACGTGGGCCAGGAGGGGAGAGGACACTCAAGTCCAGTGCCGGAAATGATCAGACAGCATACTATACAGCATTTAATCGTGATTTTAAGTCCAAATAAATAATGGCTGACGTAGCATTCCTGTTGTTTGCAGTGGGTCAGGCATCAAACGTTAGCAACCCCACTCGACACATTTTGTCATCTGGGAGATGGTGACATCATCACATACATGTGCACAATTGATTGGCTAACGTTTGATGCCTGGCCCACTGCAGACGACAGGAATGCCACGTCAGTGTCAGGAATGGATTCACCACTGGTGGTGGGACTCACCTGCCATGTGGGCTGCAGTACCAGGGCTGGCCAGCGGGTGCTCTCAGCAACCAGAAGCTCACTCCTGCAGTCAGCCATCACCTGAGGCTGATTGCAGGAGGTGTATTTAAGGAATGGCCAGACCTGCAGTCAGTGCCTTGGTGTATTGTTTCCCATGAGCCCCTGTACTTGGTATCCTGTGTTCCTGCCTATCTGCCTAGTTGCTGACTCTGCTTTGATCCTGACCTCTGCTGACCGTCTCCTGTTTAACCCCTGGCTTGCCTGACCATCCTTCTGCCTGATCCTCTGTACCACGCTGCCCATGAGTTACTAAACCCGGCTTGTGACCCTGACTATTCTCTGCCTGCTCCTCCGGTACCTCGCTGCCCGCACGTTGCTGACCTGGCCTGCCTGACTACGCCTGACGCTACCCAGACGATCCATCCATCCATCCCGCACGGATCTGTCCCTGTTACCAGGTCTGCCAGCCTCTTCACGTCAGGCTCCTTTCCCCGCACACCTCTGACGACACTCTTTACCATTGCCGGACATACTCAGGGGTCGCGACCTGGTCTCAGTCTGCTCCAATTCCATCCCCATTAGGGGCCCTGGTGAATAAGCAGATTGGGACTTAGACCCCGCGCCCTGTACAGTACCTAATGGCCTGCCTGACCATTCCACCTCTCCAGCCCTGACTACGCCTGTGTCCCTGGAGCATTTCTGGTCATACCCGGATCCCTAACGGTCAGTCATTATTTATTTGGACTTAAAATCACAATAAAATGCTGTATAGTAAGCTGCCTGATCATTTCTGCAACTGGAATTGAGTGTCCTCTCCCCTCCTGGCCCACGTCTTGGCATCTGGACTTACTTATCCATGAAGGCATCGTCTCGCTGTCTTGGTTCTAATATCACACAGATATAAAAAACATAGGAAAACAAAAAGCTAATTCATATTCATCAAGTGTGATGATTCAATAAAAGGTTGAGACAAGTGCGTGCGTGTTGATGTCACCGTCTCAAGCCCCACTCGACGTGTTTCGTCATCTGGGAGATGGTGACGTCATCACGCATGCGAGCACAATTGATTGGCTAACGTATGATGCCTGGCCCACTGCAGACGACATGCCATGTCAACCATATTAACATAGCTTGCTTACAACACACAGTTAACCCTTTAATCGCCCCAGGTGGTAACCCGTTCCTTCCCAGTGCCATTAGCACAGTGTCAGTGCTTTTTACTAGCACTGATCACTGTATTGGTGTCACTGGGGATGTCAGTGACACCAAGTCAGTTCCCTCCAGTGTCAGAATGCCCGCCGCAGTCCTGCAGTCCCGCTATAAGTCGCTAATCGCTGCCATTACTAGGTAAAAAAAATCCCAGTATATATGCCGACCATTTGTAAACGCTATAACTTTCACGTGAACCAATTAATTTACACGTATTGAGATCTTTTTTCAGCAAAGACATGGAGCAGAATACATTTTGCCCTAAAATTATGAAGAAATTAGATTTTTTTCAATTTTTTTACTGGACATGTATTATAGCAAAAAGTAAAAAATATTGTCGTTTTATAGCGCAAAAAATAAAAACCGCACAGGCAATCAAATACCACCAAAAGAAAGCTCTATTTGTGGGAAAAAAGGATGCAAATTTAATTTGGGTGCTGCGTTGCATGACTGTGAAATTGTCAGTTAAATTAATGCAGCGTCGTATTGCAAAATAAATGGCCTGGTCAGGAAGGGGAGGGAATCCTCTGGTTAGAGTGTATTTTTTCTTTTTTGTAAATTAAGTTTGAGCAATTACCATGTTACATAATAAATTGAAATGATCTTCATTTCATTGTCTGGAGTCCTTGGTAAAAATATATATATATATATTATAATGTTTTGGGGGTTATAAGTAGTTTTCTAGCAAAAAATACTGATTTTAGAAAACTTGCCAGAAAATGCTTGTTCTTCAAGTGGATCTGCAGTATTTGCTGTAAACATGTGTTTAGGTTTCCATAGATATAGGCATATTTTACTGCGTGAGAAAATTAAAAGACGAGACGTAGTCGGCAGGATTTGAACCTGCGCGGGGAGACCCCAATGGATTTCTAGTCCATCTTTTTTTTTTCTTACCCCTTAACCACTCGGCCACGACTACCTTGCCCTTAGCTGAACAGGTATGTAAAGTAGAAACAGCTCATTAGCTGTCCATGTCTTGACCTGAGTTGACTAAAGTTCAGAACTTGTTTTTCCTGCTGGAAAATTCTTGTTCTTCAAGTGGATCTGCAGTATTTGCCGTAAACATGTGTTTAGGTTTCCATAGATATACAGTAGGCTAATATTTGTGTAAATAATTTTACTGCGTGAGAAAATTAAAAGATGAGACGTAGTCGGCAGGATTTGAACCTGCGCGGGGAGACCCCAATGGATTTCTAGTCCATCGCCTTAACCACTCGGCCACGACTACCCTGATCTTAGCTGGACAGGTATGTATTATACACACACCTCATTAGCTGTCCATGTCTTGACCTGAGTTCACTAAAGCTCAGAACTTGTTTTTTCTTCTCTCCATAGTGAAATCCTGCCATTTATTTAAAATAGTGTTCATGTCTCAGACAGAAAGTAGTTCTTTATGTAATAGGCCTTGCTCACACGGTGCAATTACATCCACGCCCCATGCGGGGCTGTGTTTTACTGACATGGTGACTCACAGGTTTTGAATTTGGGGCTTCCCAATTGACAGCAATGAGACTACTGGCGTGTCCATGCAACACCTGTGCATCCCGGTGCCAGTAAACGTGGCCATGTATTTGCCCCATGTGCCAATCCCTCCACTGGATTCCACTCGCCCAATGACTAAAATTCATAGTAATAACAACTTCTTACAAAGCCATCCACAACTGTGCCTCCAGCTACATCACCAACCTGCTCTCAAAATATTATTATTTTTATACAGTATTCATATAGCGCTAAAAGGTTTGCTCAGCGCTGTACATTATAGTGGGGGACAGAACAGGAGACAATACAGTAACAAAACAATACACGAGGGGTTCAAGGGCCCTTCTCTTTCAATCTAGGAGGGAGAGGATAGTGGTACAGGAGGAAGTGGCTGTGGGGGATGGAGTGGTAGGAGGAGATCGGCTGTTAGGTGAGGGCAGGGTAGGCTTCCCTGAAGAGATGGGTTTTCAGGGTGCGCTAAAGGTGAGGAGGGTAGGTGACAGTCTGATGGATTGTGGTAGTGAGTTCCAGAGGATGGGGGAAGTCATAGAGAAGTCCTGCAGTCGGGCGTGGGAGGTGGAGACCAGGGAGATAGAAAGTAGGAGTTCTTGTGAGGAACGAAGATTCCGGGTAGGGTGGTTTTGGGTATCAGGTGAGGAGGGTAGGTGAGGATGGATTTGGGGCAGCGTTATGAATAGAGAAGCTTTGTTTGTCTGTGATAGTAGTTTGAATTTAGGGTGGTATTTGGGCAGGTTGGGTAGTTTGGGGCAGCGTTATGAATGGCTTTGTATGTCTGTGTTAGTAGTTTGAATTTAATGCGTTGGGCAATCGGGAGCCAGTGGAGGGAATGACAGAGGGGGGTGGCAGATGCGGAGCGGTTGGTAAGGTGGATGAGTCTGGCCACTGAGTTCAGGATAGACTGAAGCGGGGATAGTCTGCAACGAGGGTAGGCCGGTGAGAAGGGAGGTGCAGTAGTCCAGACGTGAGATAATAAGGGAGTGAACGAGTTGTTTAGTAGTGTCTGGGGTTAGGAACGAACGTATTTTGGAGATGTTGCGGAGGTGGAGCCTGCATGAGTTTGCCAACGATTGGACATGGGGTTGGAAGGGACAGGTTTGAGTCTAGAGTGACACCTAGGACTTTGGCTTGTGGGGTGGGACTGATGGTGGCGTTGTTGGTCATGATGGAGAGGGTGGGGGGGAGGGAGGCACGGGCTGGGGGGAAAATCAGGAGCTCGGATTGGAAAGGTTCAGTTTGAGGAAGTGGAGTGACATCCAGTCTGATATGTTGTTCAGTAGGTGGGTGATACAGGCAGAGATTGAAGGGGTGAGGTGAGGAGTGGAGAGGTAAATTTGCATGTCATCGGTGTAGAGGTGATAGTTGAAGCCGTGGGAATGTATCAGTTTGCCGAGGGAGGAGGTGTAGATGGAGAAGAGAAGGGGCCCGAGGACAGAGCCTTGGGGAACCCCAACAGAGAGGGGGAGAGAGGGGGAGGTGGCAGCATTATGTGTAACGCTGAAAGAGTGTTGGGATAGATAGGAGGAGAGCCAGGAGAGAGTGGAGTCTCTGATGCCGAGGGAGTGTAGTTTGTTAAGGAGGATGGGGTGGTCAACTGTGTCGAAGGCCGCGGAAAGGTCGAGGAGTAAGAGGACTGAGTAGTGGCCATTAGCTTTGGCGGTTAGCAGGTCATTAGTGATTTTGAGTAGGGCGGTTTCGGTGGAGTGTAGGGGACGGAAGCCAGACTGTAGTGGATCGAGGAGGTTGTTGTCAGTGAGGTGGGCGCATAGGCGATTGTAGACTAAGCGCTCAAGGAGCTTGGAAGTAAATGGCAGCAGGGAGATGGGTCTAAGGTTGTTCAGGTCGGTGGGGTCCAGGGAGGGTTTTTTGAGTATGGGGGTAATGTGCACGTGCTTTAGGGGGGAGGGGAATGTGCCAGTAGAGAGAGAGAGATTGAAGATGTGGGTGAGGGAGCGTAGGATGGAGGAGGAGGGTGACCAGAGGAGTTGTGTGGGAACAGGGTCAAGGGGGAAAGTGGTGAGGCGGGCTTCTGAGAAGACCTTAGTGACCTACTCAGTGGTAGCAAGGCTGAAGGAGCAGAGTGTTGGGGAGGTCATAGTGTGCGGGACGTTAGGTGTGGTGGGAGGTAGGGCAGTTGCAAGGTCAGAGGAGGGGAGAGTTGGTGGGGTTATGGTGGGAGGGAGGCTAGGTGAGAAGGTAGGTTGAGCATTGGCGATGTCCTTACGGATTGCGTCGATCTTATTTTGGAAGTGATTGGCAATCTCGTGGGCAGTGAGTGAGGTACTAGGTGGGGGTGGGTTGGAGAGAGTAGGGAGTGAAAGTGGAGAAGAGAGCCGGCGAGGACAGGTGGAGAGGGTGTTGATGAGGGTTACGAAGTAGGTTTGTTTGGTGGCATGGAGGGAGGAGGTGTAGGTGAGGAAGGCGGATTTGTAGAGGGAGAACACTCGAGGCAATCTGGTTTTGCGCCACAATCGCTCCAGCGCACGACTGCGTCATTTAAGATTTTTAGTCTGGTCGTTCTGCCAGGGTTGAAGCGGTCGGGATCTAATGCTACTTATGGTTAGGGGTGCTAAGGAGTCTAAGGCAGCTGACAGTGAGTCGTTGTACGCAGTAGTGGCCAGGTCAGGGCATGACAGTGGAAGGATACTGTCGTACAGACGGTCAGCTGCAGAATGGAAAGGGGCCGGGTTCAGGTTGCGGAGGTTACAGCTGGTGATGGTTTGACGTTTGGGGGAGGAGGCGTTATAGGACGGGGAGATGGAGAACGTAATGAGGTTGTGGTCAGAGAGAGGGAAAGGATTGTTTGTGAGGTTGTGGAGGGTGCAGAGATGGGAGAAAACGAGGTCCAGGGTGTTTCCATTGGTGTGGGTGGAGGACTGTGTGCACTGTGTGAGTGCAAAAGAAGAGGTTAAATTGAGGAGTTGGGATGTAGCCGGATTGTTGACATTGATAGGGATATTGAAGTCTCCAAGGATGAAAATATCAACCAAACCACTCTCTACAGTCCTACCAAGACCTTCTGCTCTCTAGTTCCTATGTCACCTCCTTCCATGCATGCGGTGCTGTGTTTTACCGGCATGGTGACTCACAGGTTTTGCATTTGGGGCTTCTCAATTGACAGCAACGAGACTACTGGCATGGGCATGAAACACCTGTGCATACTGGTGCCAGTAAACGTGGCCTTGTATCTGCCCCATGTGCCAATCCCTCCACTGGATTCCACTCGCCCAATGACTAAAATTCATTGTACTAACAACAACTTATAAAGCCATCCACAACTCAGCCCCCAGCTACATCACCAACCTGCTCTCCAAATACCAACCAACCAAACCACTCTCTACGGTCCTACCAAGACCTTCTGCTCTATAGTTCCTATGTCACCTCCTCCCATACATGCGGTGCTGTGTTTTTACAGCATGGTGACTCACAGGTTTTGAATTTGGGGGCTTCTCAATTGACAGCAACGAGACTACTGGCATGGGCATGCATGCAACACCTGTGCATCCTGGTGCCAGTAAACGTGACCTATTAATTGCCTCATAAAAAACATAGAAAAACAAAAAGCTAATACATATGCATCAAGCGTGATGATTTAATAAAAGGTTGAGACAAGTGCGTGCGTGTTGAGGTCACCGTCTCAAGCCCCACTTGATGCATTTCATCATCATGGAGATGGTGACGTCATCACGCATGCACAATTGATTGGCTAACATTTGATGCCTGGCCCACTGCAGACGACAGGAATGCCACGTCAGTCATTATTTATTTGGACTTAAAATCACAATAAAATACTGTATAGTATGCTGCCTGATCATTTCCGCAACTGGAATTGAGTGTCCTCTCCCCTCCTTGCCCACGTCTTGGCATCTGGACTTACCTATCCATGAAGGCATTGTCTCGTTGTCTTGGTTCTAATATCACATAGGTATAAAAAACATAGCAAAACAAAAAGTAAATACATATGCATCAAGTGTGATGATTCAATAAAAGGTTTAGACAAGCGCATGCGTGATGACGTCACTGTCTCAAGCCCCACTCGACGCGTTTCATTGTCTGGGAGATGGTGACGTTATCACACATGCGCAACTGATTGGCTAACGTTTGATGCCTGACCCAAGGCAGCTGACAGCAGGGGTGGACTGACAACTCATGGGGCCTCCGGGCAATAGGGGATCATGGGGCCCCTGTGTCCTTGCCCAGACTCAAAAAAGCCTATGAAAAAGGTACCAGGGGCATCTCATGGGGCCCCCTACTGACCCCGGGCCCTCGGGCAGTGCCCGAGTTTCCAAATGGTCAGTCCGCCCCTGGCTGACAAGAACACCACTACAATTATTATTGTATTCATAGAGCCGGCATTTTCATTCTATCATGTGAGTGCATTTTGGGTATGTCCCTTATGTTTTATCTTTGAGCGCTTTTGGAAGCAATTTCGGATTTTATTTGTCGGTTTGGATTATACAATCTCCTGGAGGGATTATTCTTATCTTCTTATGCGCATTTTGACCCATCTGGTTTATACAGGGGTCATTGCCTTCTGGTAAGAGGCTCTTTTGGGTGTTTTTCTGGGACTGGGTGCACTCTTCTGATATCAGCTGGACTTCTTTCACCTTACGGATTCCATTTACACTCTTGGTTGTGTTGTATTGGACTCACCAGGACTTTATTTGACACTTGATCACTATGATTGTTTTCTATGGATTCTTTCTTGGATACACAGAATATAACTGGATATAACATTTATAGGTAAGTTGATCCAGGGAATATCCGATTGCCTCTCAGGGGATCAGGAAGGAAGTTTTTCCCAGCAGGAGCAAATTGGATCATGCTTTGCTGGTTTTTTTTTGCCTTCCTCTGGATCAACTGTGGGTGTAGGATTATAACTTTTTTTTTGGTGGTTTCTTGTCCAGCCTAGGGTGTCAAGATCCTACCTTTCCTCAGACCTTGTGCTGCTCCATGTGCTGGCATCCATCTTAGGTGTCTGCAAAGCATTGTGGGATCCTTTATGCTTTCAGCCCTCTGTGGCTCCTCCCCCAGGAGGTGGCGGCTTATCACATATAAGTCTACTGTTTGTAGCTGTCCATTGCATTCGTGTCCTGTCTGTTGCACAGCAGCAAGCTCCTGTTTAGCTGCTCATTGCGTTCCTGGATACCGACTCGGCTTTGGCTAAGACTCCTCCTGGCTTCTGACCCCGGTTCTTGCGACCATTCTTCCTGGCTCCTGATCCCGGCTCTGGCCACCATTCTTCCTGGCTCCTGATCCCGGCTCTGGCGACGATTCTTCCTGGCTCCTGATCCCGGCTCTGGCGACGATTCTTCCTGGCTCCTGATCCCGGCTCTGGCCACCATTCTTCCTGGCTCCTGATCCCGGCTCTGGTGACAATTCTTCCTGGCTCCTGATCCTGGCTCTGGCGATGATTCTTCCTGGCTTCTGATCCCGGCTCTGGCGACGATTCTTCCTGGCTCCTGATCCCAGCTCTGACGATGATTCTTCCTGGCTTCTGATCCCGGCTCTGGCGACGATTCTTCCTGCCTCCTGATCCCGGCTCTGGCGACGATTCTTCCTGGCTCCTGATCCCGGCTCTGGCGACGATTCTTCCTGGCTCCTGATCCCGGCTCTGGCGACGATTCTTCCTGGCTCCTGATCCCGGCTCTGGCGACGATTCTTCCTGGCTCCTGATCCCGGCTCTGGCGACGATTCTTCCTGGCTGTTGACCCTGGTTTTGGCTACGATTTCCACTGTTGGACTTGCATAGACTCTTGTCTTATTTTTATATTAATAAACCTACCTTTAATTGCACCTCCTTGTGTGTCTTGCTCCTCGCTCCCTGACATAGGGATAGGCTATTCCCCAAAACCATGCCCAAAGAGTCCTGAATAGACCACAGCAGACACAGAGAAGGACTCTGAGCCTGATAAAATATAAGTAAAGGAGGGCTCCACTAGAGACTGTGCTCATGGGGACAGTTGCTTCTCTGAAAAAGCTTCCCCTACCCCTACTAACAATAATGAATACGTTTCTCATTTCTGGCTCCTATGCGGCGATATATAGTACTTACACTTTTAACTTCCTGCAACATTAACCCCTTGACGCCGACGTAACACAAATATGCGGCCTCACGGACCTGGGCTTTTTTCCGCGGGGCCGCATATTTGCGTACCTGTCTTTGTGTTGGGAGCGCGCCCCTCAGCACGCTCCCAGCACCGAGACCGCGGTGTCACTGAGAGCACCGGGTCCCGTTCTAACGATCGGGACCCGGGACTCCCGGTCCCGGGTCACATGATCGCTGTGATAGCCTCTGACTGTTGTTGTTTTTTTCTCTCTCTCTCTATGAATGGAGAAGAGAGATACATTGTATCTCTCGAACTCCTGTCAGAGAGAAGAAAAAAAAGTTTGTAAAAAAAAAAAAAAAAAAGATAAATAAATAAATAAATATTAAAAAAATAAAAGAAAAAATAAAAAAAAATACCTAGATCAAGGTTTGATCTAGTTCAGTGCCAGGGTTAGTGTTTAGGTCAGGGTCAAGGTCAAAGGTCAGGGTCAAAGGTCAAGGTCAGGATTTAAAAAAAATTGGTATCAGTGTCAGTTAGTGTTAATGTCAGTGTCAGTTAGTGTCAGTGTGTTTTAGGTAAAAAAAAAAAAAAGACAAAAACAAAATGCGCACTATGGTTTCTGGGCTGTACTACGGGTACAAACAACAAATAACATACACATATATGGTATCGCTGCGATCGTCAAGAGCTGGAGAATTTATTTTGGGTTGCTCTTTGGTGGTAGGTTATGGTCATAACAAGAAACACATAGCTAAATAAAAAAAAAAGGATTTTTTTAATCTATTTTTGGCCAGTTTTCCTTTGATAATAAAAAAAAAATCAGGAGATATCCATTACCATTTACCACCAAATGAAAGCCCAATTTGTCCTGAAAAAATCAAGGTATAATCCACCTGGATGTGCAAAGTAGTTGTGATGATATGTACGGTTTTGCTATCACATGTCAACGGTGCAGAATTGTGCTTAGGCCTTTAGATTTGTTTTACCCTTAGGAGTGAAGGGGTTAACATCCATAAAGTGGAACTGCACTGCATCTGAGTACCACAAACCAAAAATGCAATTTCATTCATTTTAACCGCTAGCCTACAGGGCACTTATACCCCCTTCCTGCCCAGGCCAATTTCCAGCTTTCAGCGCTGTCGCACTTTGAATGACAATTGCGCGGTCATGCAACACTGTACCCATATGAAATTTTTATCATTTTTTTGAGACAGATAGAGCTTTCTTTTGGTGGTATTTAATCACCTCTGGGTTTTTTATTTTTTCTTAAACCAAAAACCACTGAAAATTTTGAAAAAAAAAAAAGTTTTTTTCTTAGTTTTTGTTATACAATTTTGTAAATAAGTGATTTTTCTCCTTCACTGATGTGCGCTAATGAGGCTGCAGTGATAGGCACTGATAGGCTGCACTGATGGGCACTGATGAGGAGGCACTGGTAGGTTGCACTGATGGGTATTGACAGGCATCACTGATGGGCACTGAAAGGCAGCACTGATACATGACACTGCTATATGGCACTGATAGGCGGCACTGACTGGCACTGATAGGCGGCACTGAATGGCACTGATGCGCACTGATAGGCGACACTGACTGGCACTGATAGGTGGCACTGATTGGCAGCACTGATAGGTGGCACTGATTGACATTGATAGGTGGCACTGACTGGCACTGATGGGTGACATTGAAAGGCAGCTCAGATGGGCACTGATATGTGGCATTGATGTGCACTGGTATGCACTGATATGTGGCATTGATGTGGCACTGATGGGTACTGGCACGTGTCAGTGATGGGCACTGGCACATGGCACTGACAGGTGGCACTTCTGGGGCCACACTGATCATCAGGGCACACTGATCATCAGTGCCCTGATGATCAGTGTACATGTCCCCTCCGCGGAAAGCCAATTACCGACTCTCCTCTCGAGCTGTCAGCGTGACAGCTTGAGAGGAGAGAAATGCCAATAACTGGCATTTCCGTGTTTACATGTGATCAGTTGTGATTGGACACAGCTGATCACATGACCGAGCCAACATCTTTGGCTCTTTCTGTGATCCGCTGTGTCCGAGGGACACAGCGCACCGGCGATCGCCGTGCTGCGTGCTCCCTGAGACGTGCATGCGCAGTGAGAATGGTAGGACGTCATATGACGTCCTATCACAACGAGAGAACCACCTTGCGCCCATTATTGTACTATAGGGCAGGCGGACGGTGGTTAATATTCACAACAAACGTCCCCATCCATCTATGTCTCCATGATATATTTTGCAGAGAAATCCCTTTGAAAAAAGACCCCCCCCTAGCATTTCTGGCTGTGGCCATCTTAAGTAAGACAGATGATTCATGGAGCATTCACTTCTTGGAATCCATCTGCCCTTAGCTCAGGCATTAAGGCAGAAGGGTGTGCTTGTAACAAAGTGTAGTGAAAATAATATGTGGCATGAAAAAGTAAAATAAAATTGTAAACTTGTGAGTAATTAGATTATGTTATAAATATAATTACATAGTTAGTTTGGCTGAAAAAATACAAAAGTCCATCCAGTTCAACCATAGAAAAAAAAAAGTTATAATCCTATACCCACATTGCATAGACAAAAGAGCACTGTAATAGCCAAATAAGCAATGAATCACTAGCTTGCACGTAAAGAAACTACAGCACTGTTAACTTAAATCTTAACTGGGTTACAAGGTTCTCAAAACAATATCAACCAGTGCAAAGGGATAGAAAGGGTTCTGTTGTACACCTTAAGCATACAACCCCAGTGACAAGTGGGTGTACAAGTTCCACTTGTGGAGTCCCCCTGGAGCTTATAGAAAGAACCTGGCACCTAGTAAGTAATGTTAAGTGACTTCCAGTGGGGCCTTTCTTTATGTGGTGCACTGTCCCTTTTACAAATATTCATGGATAACAGATTCTACCTTGCTAAGTGGGAGAAGTCTCTGTTTGGGCTAACAAAGTATAGCAAGCATTTAGGACAGCTTACCACTTCCTGGCAGGCAGCTATTAAGTTCCAAGTAGCTGGGTGACCAACAGCTCCCAGCGTTTAGTTCCCAGTTTCTCACACAGTCTGCAGTGTCTCAGCTCAGACCCTGAGGATGCAGCTATTCTCTCTTTGAACAAAATCTCTAAAGGCAGCTCCAGCAAGCTTGGGTGCCAGTCCATCCTTTTTCTTTATGGGAGGGTACAGACACAGCAACAGGCCCTCTTGGTTCCTCTCTAATGGCTTTGGTCATTCAGATGTGATGCGTGGACCCTAACATCAGGTTTCTCACCGTCACTCTCTTCCCTGGACTGCCCAGATCTTGATCAGTTTTCCTTGGAAACACTGTGAAGCTCTCCACTTCTAGGTGCAGTCACTGGTGGGAATTGAAGTCCAATAGCCATTAGTCTCCAAAAGCAAATATGGTGCAGGGCTCCTTTTAGGAACCACAATTCTCATCATACATAGCTTCTGCCCAGAGAGTTCTCTATGAGGCTTCCATTGGCTCCTAGTGCAAAAGAGGAGAACACAAAGCAGGCTGCCTCAAGCTACACCTGCAACAATTAATTGACAGGTTCCTGGTCTAAACCTCTATTGCTGCATAGCCAAACCTGTATTTAATGATTGCTTCTATTCCAACCAGGGGCAGACTGACCATTTGGAAACTCAGGCACTGCCCGAGGGCCCGGGGTCAGTAGGGGGCCCCATGATATGCCCCTGGTACCTTTTTCATAGACTTGGGCAGGGACACAGGGTCCTCATGATCCCCTATTGCCCGGGGACCCCATGAATTGTCAGTCCGCCCCTGATTTCAAACTAAAACCTTTGGTTATATTCAGGTCTAAGGGTGAAGCTGTACCTATTATAGGTTATCAGTATCTACTGTGCACCCTGGTTGGTGTGCTAAACCTTAGAATTCTGTCACCTGGAGCTTCCCAAGTTCCTCAGGTGGATAGATGTATAATGCATTGGTAGCTAGAGACTACATCATACCTATAATATGTGATTATGCTGTTGGCTTTGTGGCACCAGACCCATTGCAGACTGTTGGATTTTCCTTATGTTAGGAGTTGGACCTTTAATTGCTGAAGTTAAACTAGGTTTTCTCTTGTTGGGGACCATGCCTCATGTATAAAATTCATTCACGTGACCCTGTCTATACGATGTTCCTAAAGGTATGCTTTGTGGAATATAGAAATACACCTTAACACTTAATTTAGGCATTCTGCTATAGTGATGTATTTATGCATAGATGTACATAGACAACATGGAAGACAACATGGAAGTAGAAGATTTAGGGATCTCTCTCTCTCTCTCTCTATATATATATATACATACACATACACACATACAGGTGTACCTCGGTTTACGAATTCAATGTGTTCTCCGGGACGTTTCGTATTGCAAAAAATTTGTAAACCGAAATGTGGTTTCTCATAGGAATGCATTGAAAACCAATTAATCAGTTTCCGGAGGTCAGAAAAAAGTAAAAAAAAGTCGCTGGCACTATAGATCAGTGCCGGTTTTTAAATGTAATTACTGGCTATTTTTTTTTTCTTCACTATAAATCAGCTGTCACCTTCCCCCAGCTAAAAGAAAGAAAGTTTCCTTTTAGTTTATTTCCCCAAGCTAAAAGAAAGTTTCCTTTTAGTTTATTTCTACTAGTTAAAAGAAACAATGTTTCCTTTTAACCTCCCTGACGGTATTCCCGAGTGTAGCTCGGGGTAAAGTTTCAGTACCAAAATCGGTAACCCCCGAGCTACACTCGGGCTTACCATGCGGCGCTGTATAGGGAGTCCCTGCAGGGCTTACCTTGTCCTTCGCTCCCACGATGTGTCCCCTGCAGCGTCCCCGGCCATCTCCTCCGGCCGATGCCGGCATCCGGCTTCTGTGTTCCGGTCCCTGTGACGTCGGGACGTACGGGCGCCGCCGCCGCCAGCGGGAAATTTGAAAATTTTTAAAAAATGTCTTTTTTTTCAAAACGAATTTTACATAGTAAAACATTGCTGTTTCAAACCATTTCACATACATTTTGTCCCGAGTGCTTTGTCCTGTCCCCTGCCTGCATTTTTACTGTTCTTTCTGCCTGGAAACTTAGAAAAGTCCATGGCATCCAAAAAGCGTCCCTTTAGGTCAAAAGCGGTTTTATGCCGGCTAGAGAACAGTGATAGTAAATCAGAACCACTTGCAGAATTGAGTGATAATGATTTGTGGGGGAAATTCGTCATCAGACACTGAAAACAATTTTGCGACTTTGCTCAGTGATGTGCGCACTTGGCGCTATATTTCAAATTTCAGTGTTTTTGGTTTGATTATATTATTGAATTAAATTTATTATTATATTATTATTATTTTTTATGATTATTTATTAAATTATAATTTATGATTTCGTGTTTCAAATTTTATCCTACCCGGGATGTTTACTAGACTCTTGTTCGGACAGATTTCAGTGAGTTATTCCTAAAAATTACAGGCCTACAATAAAAAACTACACATTTCCATGCAAAATAATGGTACCGCTTTCAGCACCAAAAATCTGAAATAATCATACCGCCAGGGAGGTTAATTTGTTTCCCAAGATAAAAGAAACAAAGTATCCTTTAGCTCCAGGGAAAGTGACAACTATTTCTGTGAGATATAGTGAAGAAAAAAAAAAAAGCCGGCAATTGCATTTCAAAATTGGCACCGACATACACTTCGTATTGAAAAAAAAAAAAATTGTAAAAAATTCATAAACCGAGGCATTATTTGCAATGGATTTTCATTTGTAAACTGAAAATTACATTGACCGAGGCGTTCAGAAACCAAGGTACATCTGTGTGTGTATATATATATATATATATATGCCTTATACTGTATATCAAATTTACAACTTATTACTCTATGTTTGTGATATTTATAATAGTTTTCTTTGAGAAATAGGCTTTGTTGCAGAAGGTTCTGCATGGAAACCACCAAGCAACTCATTCCCTCCCTCATTATATCACGCCTCGACTACTGTAACTCCCTCCTCACCGGCTTACCTCACCGCAGGCTATACTCGCTTCAGTCTATCTTGAATGCTGCGGCCAGACTCATCCACCTTACTAACCGCTCCGTATCTGCCACCTCTCTCTGCCAATCCCTCCACTGGCTTCCGATTGCCCAACGGATAAAATTCAAAATACTAACACTGACGTACAAAGCTGTTCATAACACTGCCCCAAACTACATCACCGATCTGGTATCCAAATACCACCCAAATGTACTCTCTGCTCCTCACAAGACCTCCTACTCTCTAGTTCCCTGGTCTCCTCTTCCCATGCTCGTCTCCAGGATATCTCTTCCCCTACCTCCTAACTCCTTCTAGTTCCCTGGTCTTCCAGCTCTATACGCATTAGCTCGTTCTCCAGGATTTCGCAGGGCTTCCCCCATCCTTTGGAACTCCCTACCCCAATCCATCAGCCTATCACCTATTCTCCTCACCTGTAGACGCACTCTGGAAACCTATCTCTTCAGGGAAGCCTACCCCGCCCTCAGCTAATTACTGAACTCCTCCCCTCTTCCTACCTCTCCATCCCCCACAGCTATTTCCTCTTGTACCACTATCCCCTCCCTTCTAGATTGTAGCTCCAAGGAGCAGGGCCCTCGAACCCCTCGTGTATTGAATCGTATTGTTACTGTACTGTCTCGTGTACTGTCTCCCATTATAATGTTATAATGTACAGCGCTGAGTAGACTGTTGGCGCTATATAAACCCTGTATAATAATAATAATTTGTTTCCTTTTTTCTTGTTAGAATGCACTTAATCACTGGCTTTATATATTATCCAGGATGCTCTAAAGCAGTCGTTCTCAACCTGGGGGTCGTGACCCCTTTGGGGGTCGAACGACCCTTTCACAGGGGTCGCCTAAGACCATCGGAAAACACATATTTCTGATGTGTAAAGAGCAGCTACTGTGTAGAAAGCAGCTACTGTATAGAAAGCAGCTACTGTGTTGAAAGCAGCTACTCTGTTAAAAGCAGCTACTGTGCTGAAAGCAGCAGTATTGGAGGTAAAACGACACTTCATGAATTATAATTACTGGGTAAATAATTTTATGGTTGGGGGTCACCACAACATGAGGAACTGTATTAAAGGGTCACGGCATTAGGAAGCTTGAGAACCACTGCTCTAAAGGAACATTAAAACTTATTTGTTTTATTAAAATGCCATAATTGAAATGAGCTAAACTGCTAAAATAGCAAAATGGGGTGGCTGTAGGTTGGACTAATGAGGCAGGTAATGGTATCCAGGTGAGCCACTGTGGGGACAATGAGTGGCTGGTAATTAACCGACAGCTGAGCAGCTTCTGAGCAGTGAAAGAACAGAGCTGATTGTTAAGTAGCAGGAGCCCAGCCCTGACAGTTACATGCATTAGAATAGAATTAGTTCTTTTAGATTGTAAGCTGTAAGGGGCAGGGCCCTCTGATTCCTCTTGTAT